AACTGTATGTAAAATATTAATAATATTGATACTAATAATAATTGTATTTATAAAGCACAGTTCATGGACAGATAAAGTCCAAATTGCTTAACAAGTCAAGATCATGTGTAAATAAACAATAAAAATAAAAAAGAAGAAAAAAAATGTCCATGTTAGCCATAGCTGTAAGTGAGACAAAAACAACCAAACAAGACAAAAACAATTAACACAACTTTAATACTTTGATACCAGTAAAATTGAAAGCCAAATAAAAAAGATAACTCTTTAATTTCTTTTTAAAAATTCCCAGGGAGTTTGCAGTTTTTGGATCTAAAGGGAGGGAGCTTTACAATTCAGGGCCATAAAAACAGAGAGAATACACTTATATTATGCGCAAAAAAACAAAGACTGAAACAGATACATTACTTGGATAACTCAGATTTCATTTATTCAGTGAACTCAACATTATATTTGTCGGAAGCTAAGGAGGCAGTCAATGCTGCTCATTATACCGTTTCCTGCTGACATTCAGTGTTGGTTTCTTTTAACCATGACCACGGTCGTTCCCTAATTGTAACAAAGTGGTTCTTGTTTTAAGTTTAACAAAGCGGTATGTTAACCCAAACCATGATGTTCTCCTAACCCTAACAAAGTTGTGTTTGTACCTAAACCTACCCAAGCCTAATCAAAAAGTCTTATTCTTGTATTTTGAAGCTGTGATGTTTGTGTCAGATCAGAAAACACTTACCTGTTGTCTTAGAGGGTATAAACCAACAAGATATTTTGTTGTTAAATTAGGGATAATGGCTCTTTTGATAACCGATAAATTTAGTATCAATTGACTAACCAATTAATTGACTAATCATGTCATCTCTACAGTTATCTACTGTACTGTATCCTGTGTTGTAGTCCTGTGTTGTTTACTCCCTCTCCTTTCTCTGTAATAACTATTCCTTCCACATCGCTTCATTTCTGCTGTTTTGTAATTCCAGTCTCTTTAATTTTATTCTGTCTGGGTCTCTTTTCCTCCTCTTTCCCCCATTCTGACTATTTTTCTGTGTTGGATGTAACCAACAACATTTACTCGACCTTTATTCAGGTACACATTTTAGGCACTTGTACTTGCCACTTTATGCTTCTACTCCACTACATTTCATTGGGAAATATTGTACTTTTTACTACATTGCATTTATCTGATAGGTACGTATCTGATAGCTTAACAGATCTTTGCATAAAAAATGTGATGTGCTTGTAACTATTTTGATAATGGTTTAAGTCATTTTTCATGCAAAATGCCAAACATCTGATGGTTCTAGCTCGAGCCGCTTCTAGGCCACGGCTGGTGGAGCAGCTTACATTGACTTGAATGGCTGCTATTAGCTCTGGCACTCACGCCTCGGTCGGATCGTGCAAGCCACGGATCCATTGGGTTGCCATAAATGGGCCTGTCCCAGAGGCATTCAACTACCAAAGGGCTTTTGAAATCTATCTATCTATCTATCTATCTATCTATCTATCTATCTATCTATCTATCTATCTTATTGTTAAGACTTAGATATTTGACCCTACTTGTATTTGCCCCTGTATCAAAAGGACTGGCCCTAGCTTGGCCCCCCCATTGAAACTGGCCTAGAACCGCCACTGGTTGGGACTATTGGTTGGACAAAGCAGGCACTGTGAAGGTTCACTTTGGAATTATTTGAGACAGGAATTTCTCTAACCAGTTTTTTGTTTGTTTTTTAAGTTTTACAAACCATACAGTTAATCAATAGATTTCAATCAGGAGAGACACTCTGAGAGAAAATCATATGTATTTACATATGCACCTAAGAATAAGAAATGTGAAAAGTCTTTGGCGATTAGACCCCTTCGTGATGTCATATATTTCAGGAGGATGGTAAAGGTGTAGAAGATTAGGGAATCCGCTCTATGGAGTCTAGACGCTTGTGGTGGTAATGGTGGTAATGAAATAAGATGAAGAGGGAGCTGAGGATTTAGATGTGAAGAGGAATGGACTTTTGATGAGCTTATCCTGGGTTCTGGATAAGGTGGCCGGAGGACAATGGAGTGGGGGAGGGCTCAATGATTCCACCTAAAATGATAGCTGACAGGATAACAGATTTAATGTTTGGCAGTGGCAACATGAATGGCTGAAGGAGATTGTGGCAAAGTTTGATTGGCTAACCAGGAGAGGGAACACCCATAGTCAGCTGATTGGAGGAAGTGGGAGTGGGATGAAGAGAGAATTGTAAATGAGTATAGCATAAAGAAAGTCTTCCTGATTGAACTTACGCTGAGCTTCATTTGTTGATAATAATAACAAACCAACTACAACAGTAAAATCCTGCTTTTACAGTATTAATGTATAATTAATAATAATATAGTGATTTAATATAACAGTATACAGGCTGGTATCATACACTGTTGGTACATTTTCCTATGTAAAGCAATACACCAAAATTCATACATATCCCATGTAATCATGAGCTAGTAATTAGTATAGAACCCATATATTTGGGAAGGAAGCAATCATGTGACCGAAGCTCTGATGGGGATAATGAAGGAAAGACACAAGTTGGGGTGGTGGATGGGTCACAAAACACAAGACTTTTACCCAGGACTTTCCCAAGGAGACAGATGTTTGGTACCTGTGTGAACTTTGCATAAACTTTGAGTAATTTTAAGATATGACATTACCATCATTTTTTTTTTTTTTTTTTTAAGATTATTTTTTGTTTGCTGCCTTTAATGAACAGGACAGAGTGAGGCATTGCCTCTGTACATGGGGAGCTGGCACTATCCACTACGCTACTGACACACCGAGTGTAAGCACATTATTGTGTGCATACATATTTGTACTTAAAGGTCCAGTGTGTGGGAATTAGTGGCATCTAGCAGTGAGGTTGCAGAACTGAAACGTCTCCCCTGTGCCAAGCGTGTAGGAGATGGTGGCAGAGGCAAAAATGCAAAAACGCAAATGGCCCTATCTAGCCTCCTGAGACCCTGTGTCCTCATATGAGGACATCACATTTTGGGTTTACCACACCTTATACTTAATTCTGTTTAACTTAGACCTGTTTTCCTCATTTGTGGAGATTTTTTTTGTTCTGTCTGCTGGTAGTAAGAGCACAATACACTAATCCATGTAAAAACAAGATGGCAGCCATCTCTGCCAAGTCAACCGTCTACTCATCTCTTGTAAATGATTAATGCTATTGCACACTGTCCCTTGATAAACTAAATAAACTAAACTAATAAACTAAACTAAGTCAGTCTGCAGCTGATCCTGACACAAAAGTGGATAAGCTACAAAACTTGATCAGATTTTATTGTTGAAACTTGTTTATTTATGATTAATAAAGTTTGTAGTTTGATATGCTACACATTTCTACCAATTTTAGCAACAGTAACAAGCTTAGACACTGTTAATTGGAAAGTAGACATTTGAAGACATTGGGAATTTATTGTCATCTCCTTTAAGGATATTGGGACTTAATTATCGTCTGGTTTGAGGACACTGGGATTTTATTATTGTCTCATTTGAGGACATTTCTATACTTATTAGATCCTACTAATCCCAAATATCCCCGAGATCCCTAAAAATGCCTACCAAATATAAGTTCTGATCTCAGGAGACTAGTTTTGTTTGTCCATTACGGGCTACTGTAGAAACAACATGGAGGACCATGTAGAAGGGGACCTGCTCTGTATATATAAATATAGCCTAAACCTCTCATTCTCAGATAATAGAAAAAACCCACGATTCATATTTTTCAGTGAGTAGCCTATAAACTAATGAGAACAAAGTTATGAATATTATATTCTAGTTTTGCCAATAGATGCCCCTAAATCCATACACACTGGACCTTTTAAGTAGCCTGCATTTATTTTGTACTCGCAAACTTTTAGTCTACTTAAGTAACCTTTTGAATGCAGGACTTTTACAAGTTATGGGGTGTTTTAACAGTGTGATATTAGTACTTTTACATAACTAAAGGAACCTTTTTCCTGTACAGGTGGCTGGTTTATTTAAACAATATTGAACTCTATAATAAACTGCCAGAAAAAGCTGATATGTTGATTTAACAAAGTTTGTGGATGTTATAGGAGGCGTGTTGGAGGTCATCCCAAAATTTATACATCATAATGCATTCTGCAGACATTACCTAATCAACTCTTACTTGCAAATGCACCATGCGGATGCTCTTATTTGGAGCACATTATCTACTTTGAATGCATAATGAAGCTCAGGTTGCTTGTATGCGAACAAGTGCTTCCTGCAAGTATAGACAGTAGGCTACGGTGCCGTCAGTGCGTTCACACTCTAAATGTTGGATCATATCTGCAACACCTTAAAAGGTGTGATTTCCACAAGATGTTCAACTAGTTTTTCCTCACATGACCAGTGGGCTCTAACTACGATCACACCGACATTACAATCTGTTTCACCGTGTTGTCTTCTATTATCACTCCTCAGTAGGAAACAAACCTGTCGCCAGTCGAGCCACAGGAGGCACACATGCTGTCAATTCATTAGAAGACAAAAAAAAACCCCGCGTCTTCATTAACTTCATATAGCATTATCTGTGCTCCTGTGATACCGGCTCCCTCCCTTCCTCCTGTGTGATGCTGGTGGGAGAGGAGGGGAGAGGTGACGGAGGGGGCTATCATGAGCCACATTATGTAAATAAGGTGCAGGGGCATGTGCCAGTTAAACCGCAGTGCCGTGCGAAGTGAGACAGAAGCAGAGGCTTTGGACGGTTGAAGCCGGGGCCGTCGGTAGATGGCGGTAACCCAAGAAACCTGATCCACAGGGTTCTCGGGCACTCTGTCTCTGTTTGCAGCACTCGCACTGAAGACAGAGGAGCTGAACAGTTTGAAGGACATAATAGCAAAAGAAAAGAAAAAAGAGAAAGCCCAGGAGAGCTCACGGCGGGTCCTCTCGAGTTTTGCGCGCAGCCCTCCCGAGCCGGAGACGGAACCCTTTGCCACCAAGAGAAAACGGGAAAACTAAAAACGCCATGGAAGACAAATCTAATTCGTTCTCCAGCAACAAGGAGGAGAAGGCGGATGGGAATAATGTTTTTCAGAGGCAAGACTCGATACAGAAAAATAACACGGGGAGCCAGAACATGAAGGACCACGGCAACTCAGTGGGCTTCAAGGGGGAGCGGGAAGAGGCCATGGTCGGTTTTGACGATCTGGAGGGGGCGGCCAGGCAACATGGTTTTATGCAGAGGCAATTTGGGGCCATGATGCAGCCCGGAGTCAATAAGTTCTCCTTGCGTATGTTCGGCAGTCAGAAAGCCGTGGAGAAAGAGCAAGAGAGGGTTCAAACGGCCGGATACTGGATCATTCATCCATATAGCGATTTTAGGTAAGAGCTGGAAAAGACACCTGCTCACCCACCCTCCCCTCCCCTTTCTACCCACCCCTCCCGTCACCCTAGGGTCTGCAAGCTATACACTTTCACACATAACGCTCTGTCATCGGCACACGCACAGCCTGCCCCGAAGCGCTAATCTACCTCTGTATTTAGGCAATCAGGCTTCCGCCGGCTGACGGCTTCACTGACTCAAAATGTGCCCAGCGAGTGTGTGTGTTTCATTGCGGCATTTTTATGAGAGTAGAGAGGGACGCACTAAAGCTACAAAGGTGTATCAGTGAGATGTCCTTGGAAGAAGGATGGTGAATGTCATGATTTGAAAACACACACAAGCGCACCTTTTTCCCCCCTTCATGGTTGTTTCGCAATAGCAGCACAGTGTCAGGTCCTCATTGCGACATATTCGACCCGTGCAGGGGCGACAGTACCTGGACACAACGTGACAATGCCACTGCACCATCACGGTTGTAAACATTTCATTGTAGGCGGCGGTATAAGACGACGGGCCTGGGTAGCAAAAAAAAAAAAAAAATGCACAGAATGCGGTAAGATCGTGCACGGAAACGATTAAAGAGAAAATGGCCGTGTTTTGAATTAATCAGTCAAAATAGATCATGCAAACATTTGACAGCGCTGGTGAAACTGATGTGTTTTTGAGGGAGGAAATGTGATGGAATGTGTTTGTTTCATGCCACACTCCCCTCCTTGGCATCCACTAAATGCCACAGTGACATGATTATTGGTATTTATGTGGCTTGTCAATCGCTCAGCTGAACACTTATAGTGTATTCTCTTAAAGATTGAAAACAACACTGTAAAACTGCCTGAAGAGAGCCCATATATCACACATGTATGAAAAGCAGTGTTGCAAATGAGCCCGGCCAGTGTGAGTCTAGACAAACTGCTTCTGATTTGCCTTAATTTATTTCACATTTCTGGCACAGTGCGTTCATATGGTAAACAAATGAGATCAGGTACAGCCAGGACCGGTCCTCCACAAGCTGCGTGTTTACAGTTCACCACTCAACCAATTAAGCATCTCATCTGGCCCAGTCCCTGCACCAGTGTCCCCTGGCACAGCTTGATGGTGACAATCATCCCCCAGTTTTCCATTGAAGCTACATGTAACTTGCCAGGGCACGTTGATCCCTCTCTGCCTTTAACACTGGAGCTGTCTGTGGTCCTGAACTCAGAGCAGGCCTGAGTATGCAGCACTCTGCTCCTCACAGCTTTTATACTGCTGCTGCCGCTGCCACTGCTGCTGCTGATTCAGAGCCGCTGGGTTCTGCAGGCTGAATTCTAACATAAAGAATTGAAATTTATGACTGAGTGGCTTTGCTTTGCTTTTTTATTGATACACAATGGTTTTAATGCGACGATAAAACACATCACGGGCAGCGCTAAAGTGCACTTACCATGTAATCACACATAAAGAATAATGCTAACTAGGATATCCCGCACTCACCCACACAGAGACATTGGCATATGCACATGCCCATGTGCTCACGCAGATGTACAATGATGGTGGGCAAGGATTAGTAGTACAACACAACAGTCAATGAGCTTAGCAATCTCTGAAAACAATTATGTAAGGAGATTGACACACCCCCCCCCCCCCCCCCCCCCCCCCCCCCCCCCCCCCCCCCCATCTACAAGATGGCCAAAGGGTAAGACCTGAACCATTCAGTGATATGCGTACCTTTTTCACAGCTGGCAATTAATAGGCTGTGTTTGTGATCTTCCGTATGCTGAACTTTGATGAAAGAGATGGAAACATTAGGGGAAAAGCGAAGGGGAAAAGCGCTATAATGAGAAATAATAGATCATGTCACTGTATGTCTGAACGTATTCTAAATATGAGACATATTGAGCCATCAGTGAGAATTTTGCGATTTAATCTCTGCTCAAGGAGATCGGCCCTTTTATTCCACTAACTCAGGTTCCCTAAGGTTCCTTCCTCGTGACATTTTCCAAAGGGCGTTTTTTTTCCCCATACGAAGTCGTTGTCCTCTAGCCAGTTTAAAGACACGGCCCCTTTATGCCAGTGAGATTGCCTGGTGGTACTTTGAGGTTATTTCCCAGTGCTTCAAGCTACCTATCAGGCTGGTGCATAAATGATGTAGATGCAAGGGTACACTTAGTCTGGCAGCTCCTCTTGTACTGTAGCTTAAAAGGTAATTTAGTTCTCAATAGTGAGGCTTAACCTAACCACCTAATTAGTTTTGTTAGTTTGCTGCACAAGTGTATTTCACTATTTTTGTTATATATTAAACATTTTATCTCCCTCATTCTTTTCTATACTCTAGCAGAACCTTGTATGACCAAAAAAAGAAAACACTGTATGGTCTTTTAATGAAAACTCTTACGTAAGTACAGCCCATGAATGACACCACTATTCACGCAGGCTTTATATCTCTTTGTGGGAGTGTTTGAAACTCAATATCCAACATATTCTTTGTACACAGTGGCTGCTTAAAGATTAATGGCAGGTTAGTAATATTCATTATTCATAGATTTTTAGAGAGGCCCCATGCATGGCCTCATACACCTCGGGTTATGCTAAGAAGAGGCCTTTGTCGTGGCCTGAAAGACTCTCAGTGTTGTTTTAAAGAGGCTGCCTGTTTGGCCAGGACCGTGGCCATATTTTTGTTTGCAGTTTTATGTTGATGTGCTACCTGGAAAGTATCGTAAACAAAATCGGGCAATTTTATGGCAACCTCTCCATGTCATGTAAAATTAGAACATGTGGAACATTGTAGCTGATTCAAGCAAACGTATTACCCTCCAAGAGACAGGTCTACAGTGAATGATGTACTTGCATGCTGCATTTTAAAAACCTTATCAGTCAGAGATGACTTAGACCTCCATTTATTTGATCCGAAATCCCATTTTTCTCACTGTATTTATCAGTACAGGTATGTCACCTCTTGTAGCATGCTGTGCTCGTTACGTTGCAGATCAGATAGGGTCTGGCCCTGCTGAGTAAGATTGTATGGGGTTCCCTCTGTTGCTTGGCAGGAGTGGTCTGGCATTGATTATGATGGAGCACTTGTTGTAGGGAGGAAACCTACAAGAAGGAATGAGCTGGCTGGATTTGGAGCAGGATTGTTTGGCTGAAGCTGATTCTTTGATCTGCAGCAGGGGTGGTAGCTCCACTACGATCATTGGCGCTTCATGGTTTGTCTTTTTTGAGTTCTACAGCTCAAAGATCCTGTTGTTATTATTGGTCTAATGAGCTATAAAAGTCACATGTCAACTTATTGCCAAAGATCTTGGTTGGTTTTGCTGTCTGAACATGTTTTCTGTGATATATTGGGGTAAGAAAACCTCATTTTTTTTTATAAGTTTAATACAGGGAGCATACTGCTGGCACAGGAACCAATGCTGTGTCTGCAGTGTCACTGCAGAGCCTGCTGTGTTTGGGGAGAGTGATCCAGTGATTGCCACTCCCACTTGAATCAATCAGAACAGCAGTATGTTGGTGTCTTCCAGAGTGGGTTGACAAATTGAAGAAGGACTTGGCATAAGAAATGAGTAGCAGTAGTGCAGGGTGCAGAGCTCATCTGGGTGTGAATGCATAGCTGGGGCAAAACCTCTCGGCACCTATGGGCTGGAGCTGGAGGTGATTGTATGTGGAAGCAAAGCAGGTGCACCAGTGGACCTGCCAAGCCTGAAACCAGGAGTTTGACTGGTGGCTGAGTGCATTGCTGAAGTAGGAGCTACATTCACAGCTGGGTGCACATGCTCTTAGCTACTGGTTTAACTGGGGCTGAGTGCATTCTAGAGTTGAAGCGTTGAAGCAAGAGCTTTTTTACAATGATGCAGCAAAAACTGGGTGCAGTCTTCGAGCTGTCGTTGGAGCTGGCTGCATTGGCACACTTTGTGACTGGCTCTTTAAAAAGAGAAAGGGCAACTCACTTAGCTTTCAGACATCTGAAAGTTTCTTTTTCAGGGAATCTGTTTATTCTTAAACTTTGTGAACAACTTCTCTGTAATGCAGCATGTTTTGCTGTTTCCTATTCTATAGTTTGTAATTCAAGAGGCAAAACACAATGTTTTATTCATTAGATAAGTGGGCGTCTTAGAGGTCTTGTACAGTATAAATGCTTCCTACACAAGTCATGGGAGAAACAGAATTATCTTGGCGATGTGGGCACTCCGTGGGCTTTTGACTATATTAATATGAGTGGAAAACATCACACATTTACATTACTTGAAAAATAGCAATTTAACAGATGCCAATATTGAAATTCCTGAGTGGTATAATGGACTTTCCGATTCTTCCTTTTAAACCCTATTGATTTTTGGTGGCAATTAATTTGATACTGTATTGTCGATGTACAGTAATGACAATGTTTTCAGTAGGGGTGTCGAATCAGACTTCTCCGGATCGAATCACCGAATCATCGACTATTCGGAGTCACCCCTAGTTTTCAGTATGAAAAGAAAAATAATGTAGTTTAATTGTAAGTAGTACTGTTTTGCGTGCTATTTCATAGATTATTTTAGATCATGAACATTGACTTTTTGGCCCTGTTTACACCTGGTATTAACATGCGTTTTGGGTCATCGGATTACAAGTGAACAGCTCTAAGCACGTGTAAATATACCCAATCCGTCCTCGTCATGATATCCAATCACTCAGATGTGGCCACATTCTTTCAGCAGTCTGTACGCTAATGTGTCCTGGGCCCCATTGAAGCTGACGTCCTTGCTTCTATGACTCCGCATCGGATATTAAGGAAACTTATTGTTGCTGCATAGGAAGGAACTGTTTCCGGAGTAACTCTCTTCCTGGCGAACAATCAGTTCATCGTCTGCCCAGTTAGCACGAGCTCACACAGCAGCAGCCGTTAAACAGTCCCAACAAACTCACATCAACATAGTAACGGCTTGAGGCTTGTCATTAAACCCGTCAATAACTGTTAGATAATGTTAGCCACATGATGCTAATCATTAGCCCTGCCACTGTGAATGCGCAGGTGGACTCTTACCCACCGTCCCCAGCACGAGGCTTGCACTCCCGCAGCACTAATACCTAATTTTATTTTGCACAAAGGTTCTGCAGAGTTACTGACATGATATGTGAGGCTTGGCAAGAGCCGCAGTGACACACCTCTTGAAAAATATGATTACATGCCAGACACTATAGATGCCACTGAAGTTGGGATATCAGAGCCGGGAGGTGGGATTCCTTGACAGTTCTGGTACCAACATGCATATGTTCAAATACATTATGTACAATCCGCTGCATTTATGTGCCTGGCACGTACAAAAGGGGTTTGAAATTGCCTGTGCAGAATGCATAGGCGCAGAGCCACAGAAGTAAAACTGACGCAAACCTCCCGCCAGTTAAAAACAACAACACATTTGAACTTTGCAAATGGAAATGATGTGCGTGTTTATTTGCACATAGAACGAGGAAGTGAAATATGATCACACGTTTTCACTTGAGATGCACTTTAATGCCAGGTATGAACAAAGATTGGATCACCCAAAATGTGTCTTAACACCAGGTGTAAACAGGCTCTTTGAGCTCTTGATTTTTAACTTCCTTTTATTTTTTCTCTCTGTTCTAATACAGCTCCCTCTTTTTTACCACAGACAAATTATCTAAAGTAATATATGTTTTCTACAAAAATCCCTAAGAATATGGTTATAATCATGGTGTAATCTTTATATTTGTTCTCCTCAGATATAAATAGTTCATTCAGCGTGTTTTGTTATGAAGCAGTCAAAAAGATGAATCATAGCAGATGTCATCACTGCAGCCTCTTATTAAACATTAAAATATATAGGACAAGAGGAACACATGCCATACACACACACACACGCACACACTTACTTTACTGTATGCACATTATCCCGGCTAAAGGGGTAACATTAAATTGAAAGGACAGTAGAGTGCGTGTGTTCAAAGTGGTGTGATTTATGGTATTTTTGGTATTAAATTTCATGCTCGTTGAGATTATTGCATAAATACTGTGTGTGTCTGCCATTAAAACTTGAGAGGACTGAATAGCATCAAATAATCCAAAGTGCATCATGTTCTGTGCTTTGATTCCCCACTCAAGGTGTTAAGTCGAGGCTCTCCATATGAAGAGTCCTCTCCATAGGCCCCAGTTCAATACCTGCTGGTGTAAAAATACCTATGATGGATATTATGAACCACCTAGATGACCGCTGCTTAGTTGAAGTGAAGACAATTATTGGACACATGATCTGTGGATATTTATAAAGCCAAGGCCCCGTCTTAATTCATTCAAACAGATCCATTACTGGGTGGCCAGCCAGACAGGCAGCCTGCCAACCAGCCAGCAAGTCCATTTCCATCTTCAACAGCAGCAATGGATGGGTAGCAAGGCGGAGCAGAGGCAGGCAGGGATGGCGTCAGTGGAGAGTTTTTAGCACGAGATAGGATTCCTGAAAGCATCTATTTTCATTCACGGTTGCTTGGCCTTTATCGAGGACCAGGACACTTCGTGAAAAGAGCAGGGTGCTGATGAATCACTACTGGCTCTGTTCATCACAAGACAGAGGGCAGGGACATTAACACAGCCAGGAAGGATGAGAGGGTTTCATTCTTACAGGGCCCTGAATACATACAGCAAGTGCCAGCAGCACATTTCTTGATGTCCTTGAATCATAGATAATTTTGGGGCCTGACAAAAGACTAAGAAGACATGTAGGTAACAGCGCAAGCATGTGTGGATGTCAGAGCTGGACCTTATGCTTCTTACTTCCACTTGTAGGACAGCAGGGTCTATGACCCTCTGCACATACACTGACCTCAGTCTTGAAGACTTTTCTTTGTGGTAGCATGTAAGCTGATATATGGAAGTTCCATCACAGAAACAACAAATAAGACTTCAATAACAACCATAACATTGTTGTTTAGCCATGTTAGCTGCAGGGCTCAAGGAATGGCGTTCGATCGGTCAGTCCCACACTTTGGTCCAGACTGAAACACATATTGGTTAAATTGCTGTGAAATGTTGTACAGATAGTCGTGGTCCCCAGAGCACCACCACAAAGTTGATATTTGTGGTTGTGAGTGAAATGTCTCAACCCACAGACTGTGCAGTAAAGATGCCAAAAGTGAAGCCAAAACATCTAGACATTAGCATTTATCTCAAAGCACCACTGTGTTTCAGTACTGCTTTGCAGAGCTGCTGTAGACTCTTGATGTTCTTTATTTCCCTTTACTTAAATGCTGTTTAGCTTCACTCTTACAGCCTTAATGGAGGACTTTGATGTAAAAAATGGACAGCTTCATCCCCTCAAACAAAGTCCTTCAAGTGCAATTAAACTATTTGGAAATGTCAGGCCACTTTGTCTGCATTAACTGTCTACAACATGTTTTCTACCTTGCATAACTGATTCATATGTGTCACTTTGCAGGTTCTACTGGGACTTGATAATGCTCATCATGATGATGGGGAATCTAATCATCATTCCTGTGGGAATAACCTTCTTCTCAGAGCAGACTACCACCACCTGGCTGGTCTTCAATGTGGCCTCAGACACCATCTTCCTGGTGGACCTGGTCATGAACTTCAGGACGGGGATTGTCAACGAGGAGAGCTCCGAGATCATCCTCGACCCCAAGGTCATCAAGATGAATTACCTAAAGAGCTGGTTTGTTGTGGACTTCCTCTCCTCCATTCCAGTGGATTATATCTTTTTAATAGTTGAGAAAGGCTTTGACTCGGAGGTATATAAAACAGCTCGTGCCCTGCGAATCGTCCGCTTCACCAAGATCCTCAGTCTTCTGCGTCTGTTGAGACTGTCCCGACTCATCAGATACATACATCAGTGGGAGGAGGTGAGTATATGTTTGTGTACATCAGTAAAATATAAGGAGATTGATATTAAGCAGAGGGCAGGACAGTGATACAGGCTTATGGTTGTTTAGATGGTACCTCTCTGGCTGGGTGCTTTTCCGAGCATCACGGTAACAACCTTGAAAGGTTAACGCACAGATATAATTGTGCACATTTAATACTAATAGGTGCTGTCAATCATCACTGGTCAGAGGGCTTATCTGTCGGTAACAAGTAGTATTGTCAGTTTCAGCTCACTGATGGGTGAAATTAATTCAAAGTCAGTAATTCAAAAAGAAATTGCCTCCCATTTCTTTATAATGTAAGGTATATAATGTGTACGAGATGCTAAATGAACTGCTTTCTTAAGGGGGACCTATTATGCTTTTTCATATTTTGTTGCTCACACATAATGTTACAATGAAGGATGTTAATATTATATTCGGGCAAAGTTTCAGATAATAAGGTAAACATATGGAGAAATAATCCCTGTGAGCAAAATCCTCAGGTTTCAGGACATTTTGAACACTCCATTTCCAACATTTCGTTCTACTCTGGCTACAGCATGACATCATAGCGTGCTGGATTTTTTTATATTGTCATCTGCTCCAGAAACACTACAGCAGGTGTCTACATTACATAGCCAACACTGCTACATGTAGCAACATGCTAACATAAAGGGAACATGTAAACCTGGTTGCCAATGTTTTAATTTTCTCCCTGATTTTGGATCATATACCTGCTGAAACATGTCCGCTTGAGAATATTTTAGTTTAGAAGCTTTTATTGGTGATTTTGCACGTTAGAAAGGGTTGCTATTCTCTGTTACAGTCATTCCCCAGCTGCAGTAGCTGTGCAGAGATGCACAGATGTGAAAGACCTGGGAACGCTGACCAATCAGACAAGACTGGGCTTTTTATTTTTTAGAGGGAAGGTCTAAAGACACAGACTATTAAACAGAATGTCTCAGACAGAGAGTAAATACAGGTGTTCCAGCACAGACAGTATGAGGGAAACAAAGTGTTTTTTGAACATTAAACCATGTAAACATGTTCTAGTAGAAAACTAAAATACAACTATCAACCTGAAAGTGAGCACAATATGTCCTCCTTAATGTTTTGCTGGTGTGTTTGTACTAGATGACTCTGATTATGAACATCCACAAGGTTAAACCCCTCCGGACATAACTGAGAGTGACACATTATTACCCTCCATCGAGTCATTGCACTCCCTGACTCAGACTGTTTAACCAAGCTCTCCTCCTCCTGGTTTCATTACACACCTCAAGATTGTGCTCCTCCGTATCATGAGCAAATCATTCTGGCAGATGGATACATTTTAGACATTACGACCGAAAGCACTGACATTACATTTGATATGAAATGGAGTTTAGATAAAATGTACGTGGTCGAGTATAACAATAGCCGCTCTCCCTCACCTCGTCCTGAATGTCCTTGCTCCGCGGCTTCCTGTCCGTCCCTCATTGTCTGACTCCCTTGTTGTTATCGCTGCTCTTATCCATGCTGTTTGCTACACCGCTTGAAGCAAATTATGTTTTTGTCAGGGCTCAACCTGAACTTAAATTCTTTGGAGTGCGCACACACTGTATAGTTAAATGATATGCCACTAATAAAAAATAGTTTATTTACTGTATAAAGATGCATTTGGCAAAGTAATTGTTATGAATCAAAGCTTTTACAAGCACTCTAACAGCTATGACTTAGTGTGAATAGTGCAATTGTGCAGTGTGTCCAATCCCCAGCCCCCATGCTATGGATCAGTGAACATTCATGGAGCAGCAAAAGATCATCTTTGCTGGAGTACCAAAGAGGCAGCGGACTTTGACAGTATTTATGGTATCTTATATTTTTCTGTCAGTGTATGTTTTAAGCTGTGTTATATTACCCACCCATTCTGCATAGTGTGGCATTTGGAAAACAAAAGCATTATTCACGCTTCAGCAAAGCATTACTCCGGCTCCAAATGTGGGTTTACTGTAAGATACACACACACACACACACACACACACACACACACACACACAAACACAAACACATCACAAACCATATTCTGAAAGTGAGCACCATATGGATTGCAGTTGCTTGGTGTTATCTTGTACACATTACCACAAATGTACACATATGTGGAAAGTCGATTATGAATTTCCAATAGGGGCAGTACCATATACGATGTTGCCATGTAGTTTGCAGAGCTGCATGCAGTGGGAGGATAAGATGGTATGGACCAGGTTAGACACACAAATAGACGGCGCCGCAAGGTTAATGAAAATCTGCAGTGAGCATGCAGGGAGGCAGGCAGTGCAGTATATATAGGGATGTGTCATAATGCTCGGATACAACAGCAGAGCTCACAGCCCTGCACTCTCACTTCGTCTCTCTCGTGCTCAGTCATTCCTCTTTGTCTCCAACCGTCTCTCTTCTTCTCAAACTCTGCCTGCCCGATTCTTTCACTCTGGTTCTTACCCTCTCTCACCCCCTGTGCATGCCTTTTCTCACTCCTTCACTCACAGTATGCAGTCCTCTTTTAGCACCCTGTCTTTATCTACATGCTGTTTTGTCTAACCTTTGTGTGCTTAAAAATACAGTAAAGAAATTGAATACAGTTGTTTTGGTGTAACCACATTAAAGAGACACACTGAATAATAAAACAACAACGAATCGGACATGTCCACAGGAGACGTGAGAGGAAAGAAAAGGCGCTCGGTGGAAATATTCCAAGCTGTCGTAACATGTTAGGTGTAGGATGCAGGATTAGCGCTTTAATGGGGAGACAAATGCAGTCTCCTGCCGTCATAATGGGTTTCAAGCAGCGAACCATCATTACATCAGCCCTGGGATGGACTCAGTTAGTTATTCAGACAGTGAGTTTTGGCAATAAATCATCTCCCAGCCTGTATGTCCGTCATTCCGTCATCTGTCGTGTGCTCCCTGCCCCCCCCCCCTTTTTTTTCACTTTGTCACCATCTCTTCTCTCCATCTGCGAAGTAAAGAGGGCCGTTATTTCATCAGCGTCAGAACTGGGCTAAGTCAGATTTGTTGTTTGGCCAGTTCTCTCTGTCAGTCTTATTCTGTGGTTTCTTCTTCTACTCACAGGCTTTACACTCCTACAGCCTTCACTTTTACCTCACAGGAGCAGAATTTTCCTGCTTGGTGTGACAGATACCAGATACATACAAGATTCTAAAGAGTATTTGATGAAAAAAACTGAGTTATGAGGTATCACATTAAAGGCACAGTCCACTCCAAAAACAAAAATACATATTTTTTCCTCTTACTTGTAGTGCTAGTTATCGATCTAGCTTGTTTGGTGTGAGGCACAGAGTATTTGAGATATCGGCCTTACAGGTGTCAGCCTTGTCTCAAATATAATGAAACTAGATGGCACTCAGCTGGAAAGCAATGTGTCTTTCCAAATCATGACCCAGTTACTCAAGATAATCCAAAGACCTTGTTGTGAGTTATTTCACATGGAACTTTTTTCTTTCTACCAAACTACACCCACCAACCGTATCACTGCACAGAAGGAAGTGTGCATCTACTCATGTATGAGAGGCCAGTGTTCCTAACAGCGTCAGATGTAAACATTAAGGGTGTCTTCCTCAGCTGAGCATAATGTTAGCTAGCTCAGTGGTGCTAAAGGAGCTAGCAGTAGATGCCTCTTCCTTCTGCACAGTGAGAGGGGTGTCGAGAAAGAAAATAGCTCCGACATGAACCTGCTCACAACAAGGTCTGTGGATTAGCTTGAGTAACCAGGTCTTGATTTCTGAAAAGAGACATTGCTGTTGAGTTTTTCAAACATATTTTTTTGGCGCTTTGAGCACCACAAGCACTCGGCAACTCACACCAAATCAATCTTGATTGGTAAATAGTACGACAGGTAAGATGCAAAATATGTACTTTTGATTTGGGGGTGAATTGTCCCTTTAATGTGTTACTTCACATCTCAGTTTTCTCAGTAAATACTCACCTTTGCCTTCTTATAAGTGCTTGTGTCAAAACAGGAACCACGTACGGACAGTACTGCTGGGAAGTGGCTATTATGGCTGTAAGTAAAACAGCTGAGTGGCAACTGTATCGGTGCCCACGAAGGAACTGATGCATCTTATTTAAGCATCTCACTGATTGTCACTCATCAGAGAGGAGTAGTAGATGACTCCATCTGGCTGTGCCAATTAGTCAGAATAATAATGATGGCAACAACAACAACAACAACAACAAACAAAAAAATCTATATTTGATGCAATAGTTTGATTAATTATTAATGCCACCTCTACTTGATAACTAGTGAGACGGAATTTGTAATTTTTTGTTACACAAGCTCCGACCCCAGCTTTCATGCTACTAGTTGTTACTATTTCTAACTGTATGCACAGTTCTCTGTGTGTTTGTTCAATCATTCATTCATTTGTGTGCTCACACATAATTATTGCAATGCGCGGTGCTTAGGGAAATTGCAGCATACAGTGTGAAGGTCACGCAGAGCAGTAAATACGCTGTGTTCTCAAACACCACAATTTAAACAAGCACGAACCAAATGGAGGCTGCTGCACTGTTGACACAACTGGAAGTAACTCTGTGGGTTTTTTTTTCTTGTATTCTTGTGATCATGTAAGCACTTAAATTGGACCCTTTTAGTGATTCTAAGTGGCATCAGCATGTTTTCACTGTACACGATGTATAGCTTGACTCGTGTATACCCTGCACGCTACACAGAAAGTGTTTTAGACACTTTGTATGTGTGCCAGAAAGGGCAATGAGAATATGTAGAGCAAGTTTTGTCTTCTGCCTAGGGAAATGTTTTTTCAAGGGCATGTTGTTTTGCCTCTCTTGACAAGATCTTAAGCGTTTTGGTCATTTTCGGAGCAAACTTTTACTGAAGCACTACTATTTAAAACATTTCTTTTGCTATAGTGTTGTAGTGGGAAATCAGCTTTTTGTTTTAAGCTGCATAAAATCAACATTTTCATATTGACAGTGGGTCA